CACCACCGACGGTACGATCAGTTCTGGGGAGGGAAAGGTGCCCATACCGCCACCATCGCCCCGTTTTCCCCTCTTCTGGGCCTCCTGGGAGGCCCTCGTCGCTACGGCCGGATGCGCTTCGAGATGCTGGCCAGAACGCGCCCGAGGAGAGGTCTTGGGAGTAGCGGTATCGGTACCTGTTGGTTTCCCCGTCAGTGCATTCAAGTGTGTTCAGTCGTCAACGGAGGGGGTGTTAGTGGTAGAACGTTTCCGTCGTGATTCATCGTTCCAGTGGGATTCATTTCGATCGGACCCCCACTGTCATTTCTGCCTACTGGGGGGTCTGCCTGTGCGCGATTTGTCAGCTGCTGTCTCTCCCAACTTCCTCGGGCCGTGGCCGAGTGAGCGTGTCTTGAGCTCCTTTGGGGGCTGCATCGGGCTGCGGCTGGTTCAAGGAAGTGCGCTTCGAACTTCCTCACATGCTGTCTCGGGCCGAGGTTGCAGAAAGGTGTTGCGTTTCGAGTTCCCTCGAGTCTTTCAGGCCGCGACTGTTTCGAGTACCCTTGGATGCTGGCTCGGGTCGCGGTTGTCTCAAGGGTGTTTCGAGTTCCTGTAAATGTTGCCTCGGGCCGCGGCTGTCTCCAGGGAGTGTGCGGTTCAGCTTTCTTGGGAAGGGAGTGTGCTGCCTCGGGCCGCGGCTGTCTCCAGGGCGTGTTCTCGATGGTAGTGATATGAACATGGTTTTATCGAGAAAGTAGGGTCTCGTGGCTGCAGTCGTGTCGTTACTCCTCGCGCTACCCCCCTTTCATAGGGCGACGTGCATGATTCGTGGATCCCGAGGCTTGCGGTCATGGAAAGAGCGCGTTCTGTGGTCGCTTGGAGGGGGGGGGGGTGGATGGAGGGGGGGGGGGCGGTTTCGAACCTCCCCTCACCCCCCTCCCCGTGACGGAGAGGGGGGGGTGGTTCGAACCCACCTCCCCTCCTCCTCCTCCTCCTCCTCTCTCCTCCTCCTCCTCCTCTCCTCCCTTCTTCTTCTCCTCCTCCTCCTCGTCCTCCTCCTCATCCTCCTCCTCCCCTCCTCTCCTCCTCCTCCTCCTCCTCCTCCTCCTCTCCTCCTCCTCCTCCTCCTCCTCCTCCTCCTCCTCCCCTCCTCCTCTCCTCCTCCTCCTCCTCCTCTCTGCTCCCTCTCCCCCCTTCTCTCCTCCTCCTCCTCCTCCTCCTCCTCCTCCTCCTCCTCCTCCTCCTCCTCCTCTTCCTCCTCCCCTACTTCTCCTCTCTCCCTCTCCTCGGGCATGCGCCTGCGTCGGCGGCGGCTGGCGGCGGCGGCGGGGACGACGGCTTCCTTTTCTGGGCCGGCGCCAGCTCACTGAGGCGGCGGGCGGGCGGCGGCGGCGGGGAGCATCGAAGAGGACGGCGGTGGTGGTGGTGGTGGGTTGTGGTGGTGGTGGTGGTGTGGTGGTGGTGGTGGTGGTTGTGGTGGTGGTGTGGTGGTGGTTTGTGGTGGTGGTGGTGATGGTGGTGGGTTGTGGTGGAGGCGGCGGTTTGTGGAGGTGGTGCTGGTGGTGGTGGTGGTGGTGGAGGCGAGGGTGGTGCTGGTGTGGTGGTTTGTGGTGGTGGTGGTGGTGGTGGTGGTGGTGGTGGTGGTGGGTTGTGCTGCTGATAGTGGTGGTGGTTGTAACGTTGGTGGTGGTGGTGTGGTAGAATGGCGGTGGTGGTGGTGGGTTTTTGTGGTGGTGGTGGTGAGTTGTGGTGGTGGTGGTGGTTGTAGTGGTTGTGGTGATTGTGGTGGTGGTGGGTGGTGGTGGCTGAGGTGGTGGTGGTGGTGGTTGTGTGTGGGTTGGTGGCGGTGGTGGTGGTTGAGGGGGTCGTGGTGGTGGTGGTAGCGTTGGTGGTGGTAGTGGTGGTAATCGTCGCTATAGTCCCCGCCGGCGCCGGCGCCGGCGCCGCTGGCCGCCGCCAGCGCCGGCGCTGGCGCCGCCGCGGGGGGGGGATTTGGAGCCCCCCCTCTTTGGGCTGCCCCTGGTCATCGTCGCTTTGCCCCCGCTGTCGGCACTGCTGGCGGCCGCCCGCGCCGGCGCCGGCGCTGGCACCAGGGGGGAGGGGGGGGCTGGGGAGGAGGGGAGTCCCCCGGATTTTGATCGACGATGTCGTTTTTGCGGGTCCAGGTCCGTCGGCTTCGGTCGTAGGCCGCTTTCATTAAGGGGTGGTTTCCTAAAGGGAAGTAGGTGTTTGGAGGTTGATTCGGCGGCGAGCGAGCGGGGCGGAAGCGGCGGTACTTCTCAGAAGCCCTCGCGCCTTCTGACAAGGTTTCCGTGTCTTCGGGGAGAGCTCGGGGAACTTCAGAGAAAGCCGGGGGACTTCAGAGCCTTCTGAGAAGGCCCGCCTTTTCCCCCCCCGGGCTGGCCGCCGACTGACGTTCCCCCCCCCTCCAGTCGCGTTCGGCCTCTGAGAATGCCGGGGCGGTCGGTCCCTGCTCAGCCCCTGAGCCTCTCCCGAGCCCATCCCCAGCGCAGCACGCGAGGCAGCTCCGGGGGGGCCCGGGCCGCATGCGCCCCGCCCGCGGGCCAGCCCGGGCGCGCCGGCTGGCGGCGCACACCACGGTGGCCGCCATGGGGAGCACCGCCGTCCTCGGGGCCCTGAGGCGCGCAGCGCCCGCGCGGCCGGCCCCCGGGGGCTCGTCGTCAGCGTCGTCGCCGTGGTGGTCGTCGTCGGCGTCGGCGGCGTCGGCGTCGTCGTCGTCGGCGGCGTCGGCGGCGACGCCGCGGGCGTCGTCGTCGTCGTCGTCGTCGTCGTTGGCGTCTTCGTTGGCGTCAGCGCCGTCGTCGTCGGCGTCAACGGAAAGGTGGGGTACGATGCCCAACAGCAGCTCCTGTTCATTTTGAACAAGGATCGTTGTCCGCGCCGCCGCGGGCGTTGTTCACCGAAGACAAAGAGCCGCCCGCCCAACAGCGGCCGCTGTCTGTTTTGGACAACGTTTGTAATTGGGCATTGTGCCCATTTTCTCCGTACCCAGTCCGGGCGTCCAAATTGGAGGCGCGTCGTAGGCATCGTCGTCGTCGTTTTGTCGTCGTCGTCTAGTCATCGTCGTCGTCGTCGGCGGCGTCGTCGGCGTCGTCGTCGTCTGAGGCGTCGTCGTCATCGTCGTTGGCGTCGGCGTCGTCGTAGGCGTTGTCGTCGTCGTCGTAGGCGTGGTCGTCGTCGTCTGGTCGTCGGCGTCGTCGTTGTTGGCGTTTGGTTGTCGTCGTAGGCGTCGTCGTCGTTGTTTAGTCGGCGTCGTCGTTGTCGTCGTCGTCGTCTGGTCGTCGGCGTCGGCGTCGGAGTCGGCGTGGTCGGCGTCGTCGTCGTTGTCGTGGTTGTCGTCGTCGTCGTCGTGGGCGTCGTCGTTGTCGTTGGCGCCTTCGTCGGCGTAAGCGTCGTCGGCGTCGGCGTCGTCGTCGGCGTCGGCGTTTGGTTGTCGTCGTCGACGTCGTCGTCGTTGTTTGGTCGTCGTCGTCGTTTTCGTCGGCGTCTGCGTCATCGTCGTCGTCGGCTTCGTCGGCGTCGTGGATGTCGCCGTGGTCGTTGGCGTCTTCGTCATCGTCGTCGTCAGCGTCGTCGTCGTTGTCGGCGTTGTCGCCCTCCTTGTCTTGTCTTTGGTCGTCGTCGGCGTCGTGGGCGTCGTCGTCGTGGTCGTAGGTGTCGGCGTCGTCGTGGCTGACGTCTTCGTCGTTGGCGTCTTCGTCGGCGTCAGCGTCGTCGGCGTCGGCGTCGGCGTTTGGTCGTCGTCGTGGTCGTCTTTGTTGCATGGTCGTCGTCGTCGTTGGCGTCTTCGTCGGCGTCAGCGTCGTCGGCGTCGGCGTCGGAGTTTGGATGATGTCGTCGACGTCGTCGTCGTATTTGTCGTCGTCGTTGTCGTCATCGTCGGCGTCGTCGTCATCGTCGTCGTCGGCGTCGTCGGCGTCGTGGGTGTCGTCGTCGTCGTTGGCGTCTTCGTCGGCGTCTGCATCGTCAGCGTCGGCGTCGGCGTCGGCGTTTGGTCGTCGTCGTCGTCGTCGGCGTTTGGTCGTCGTCGTCGTCGTCGTGGTCGTCTTCCTCGGTGTCGTGTTCGGCGTCGTCTTCGGCGTCTGGTCGACATCGTTGGCGTCGTCGTCGTCGTTGGCGTCGTCGTCGTCGTTGGCGTTGTCGTGTGCGTCTTCTCTGGCGTCGGCGTATGCGTCGGCGTTTGGTTGTTGTTGTCGTCGTTGTTGTTTGGTCGGCGTCGGCGTCATCGTCGTCGTCGGCGGCGTCGTCGTCTTGTCGTCGTCGTCGCCTGGTCGTCGTCGTCGTCGTCGTCAGCGTCGTCGTCGTTGGCGTCGTCGTCGGCGTCCTTGGCGTTCGTCGCCGTCTCGATTGGCGTCGTCGTCGTCGTCGTCATTGTCGTCGATGGCGTCTTCGTCGGCGTCTTCGTCGGCGGCGTCGGCGTCGGCGTCGGCGTCGGCGCTTGGTTGTCGTCGTCGACGTTGTTTGGTCGTCGGCGTCGGCGTCGGCGTCGTCGTCGGCGTCGGCGTCGGCGTCGGCGTCGGAGATGGTTGTCGTCGGTCTTGTCGTCGTCCTTGTTTGGTCGTCGTCGGCGTCGTCGTCGTCGACGGCGTCGGCGTCATCGTCGTCGTCGTCGTCGGCGGCATCGTGTGTGTCGTCGTGGTCGTTGTCGTCTTCTTCGTCGTCAGCGTCGTCGGCGTCGGCGTCGGCGATGGATCGTCGTCGTCGCCGTTTTGTCGTCATTGTCGTCGTTGTCGTCCTCGTTGTCGTCGTCGGCCTCGTCGTCGGCGTCTGGTCGTCGTCGTCGGCGTCGTCGTCGTCGTTGGCGTCGTCGTCGTTGGCGTCGTCGTCGTCCCCGTCGTCGGCGTCGTCGTCGTCGGCGTCGGCGTCGGCGTCGGAGTCGGCGTCGGCGTTTGATTGTTGTCGTCGTCGTCGTTGTTTGGTCGTCGTCGTCGGCGTCCTCGTCGTCGTCGTTTTATCGTCGTCGTCGTCTGGTCGTCGTCGTCATCTTCGTCGTCATCGGCGTTGTCGGCGTCGTATTCGTCGTCGTCGTCGAAGTGGGCGTCATTGTCGTCGTCTTCGGTATCGTCTTCGTCATGGGCGTCGTCGTCGTCGTTGTTTGGTCGTCGGCGTCGGCGTCAGCGTCGTCGGCGTCGGCGTCGGCGTCGGCGTTTGATTGCCGTGGTCATTGTCGTCGTCGGCGTCGGCGTCGGTGTTTGGTCGTCGTCGTCGTCGTCGCCGTTTGGTCGACGTCGTCGTCGTCGTCGTTGTCGTCCTCGTCGTCGTCGGCGTCGTCGTCGGCGTCTGGTCGTCGTCGTCGGCGCCGTCGTCGCGGGCGTCGTCGTCGGCGTAGTCGTCGTCGTTAGCGTCGTCGTCGTCGTTGATGTCTTCGTCGGCGTCAGCGTCGGCGTCGGCGTCGTCGTCTGCGTTTGGTTGTCGTCGTCGTTGTGCGGTCGTCGTCGTCGTTCTCGTCATCGTTTTCGTTTTGTCGTCGTCGTCTGGTCGTCGTCGTCGTCGTGGGCGTCGTCGGCGTCGTATTTGTCGTCGTCGGCTCCAGTGTTTGGTCGTCGTCGTCGTTGGCGTCGTCGTCGTCGTGGGCGTCGTCGTCCTCGTTGGCGCCTTCGTCGGCGTTGGCGTTGTCGGCGTCGTCGTTAGCTTCGGCGTTTTGGTTGTCGTCGTTGACGTCGTTGACGTCGTCGGCGTCATCGTCGTCGTCTGCGTCGTCGGCATCGTGGGTGTCGTCGTCGTCGTCGTGGGCGTCGTCGTCGGCGTCGTTGGTGTCGTCAGCGTCGGTGTCGGCTCCAGCGTTTGGTCGTCGTGTTCGCCGTTTGGTCGTCGTCGTTGTCGTCCTCGTTGTCGTCGTCGTCGTCGTTGGCGTCGTCGTCGTGGGCGTCGTCGTCGTCCTCGTCGTCGTCGTCGTTTGGTCATCGTCGTCGTCAAATCGTCGTCATCGGCGTCGTGGGCGTCGTCGTCGTCGCTTTCGTCGTCTTCGTCAGCATTGTCAGCGTCGGAGTCGGCATCGGCGTCGGCGTCGGCGTTTGGTCGTCGTCGTCGTCGTCGATGCCTGGTCGTCGTCCTCGTCGTGGGCGTCTTCGTCGTCGTCAAATGCTTCTTCGTCGGCGTACTTATTCGTCGGCGGCGTCGGCGTCGGAGTCGGAATCGGCGTTGGCGTCGGCGTTTCGTCGTCGTCGTCATTTGGTCGTCGTCGTCGTCGTCGTGGTCGTCGTCGCTGTCGTCGTCGGCGTCGTCGTCTTCTGGTCGTCGTCGCCGTTGTCATTGTCGTCATTGACGTCGTCGTCGTCGTCGGCGTCGTCGGCGTTTGGTTGTCGTCGACATCGTGATCGTCGTCGTCGTCGTCGATGGCCTCGTCGTCGGCGTCAGCGTCGTCGGCGTCGGCGTCGGCCTCTGCGTTTGGTTGTCGTCGTCGTTGTTTAGACGTCGTCGTTGACGGCGTCGTTGGTGTCTTCGTCGGCGTTGTCGTCGTAGTCGGCGTCATCGTCATCGTCGGCGTCATGGGCGTCGTCATTGTCGTCGTCCTCGTTTGCGTTTTCGTCGGCGTCAGCGTCGTCGTCGGCGTCGTTGTTGTCGGCGTCGGCGTTTGGTCGTCGTCGTCGTCGTGGATGCCGCTTGGTCGTCTTCCTCGTTGTCGTCGTCAGCGTTGTCGTTGTCTTGTCGTCGTCGTGGGCGTCGTCGTCGTTGTCGTCGGCGTCGTCGTCCTCGTCGTGGGCGTCGTTGTCGTAGTCGTGGGCGTCGTCGTCGTCGGCGTCAGCGACGTCAGCGTCGGCGTCGGCGTCGGCGTTTGGTTGACGTCGTCGTCGGCGTCGTCGTTGTTTGGTCGTCGTCGTCGTTGTCGTCGTTGTCGGCGTCGTCGTTGGCGTCGTGGGTTTCGTCGTCGGCGTCGTGGACGTCGTCGTCGTCGTCGTGGGCGTCGTCAGCGTCGGCGTCGGCGGTGTCGTCGTCGTCGTGTGGTCGTCGTCGTTGTCGTCTGACCGCCGTCGTCGGCGTCGGTGTCGTCGGCGTCGTTGTCGCCGTCGTCGCTGGCGTCGTCGTCGTCGTCGTTGTTGGCGCCCTCGTCGTGGGCGTCGTCGTCGTCGTTGGCGTCTCCATTGGCGTCAGTATCGCCGGCGTCGGCGTCGGCGCCAGCTTCGGCGTTTGATTGTCGTCGTCGTCTTCGTCGTTGTTTGGTGGTCGGCGTCGTCGTCGGCGTCGTTGTCGTCGTTGGCGTCCTCGTCTGCGTCAGCGACGTCAGCGTCGGCGTCGGCGTCGGCATCGGCGTTTGGTCGTCGTCGTCGTGCCGCCGTTGTCGTTGTCGTCGTCGTGCGTCGTCGTCGTCGTCGTTCTCGTTCTCGTTGTCGTCGGCGTCGTCGTCGTCGTCTGATCGTGGTGGTCGTCGGCGGCGGCGTCGTCGTGGGCGTCGTCGTCAGCGTCGTTGGCGTCGTCGTCGTCGTGGCCGACGTGGTCGTCGTCGTTGGCGATTTCATCGGCGTCGACTGCGTCGGCGTCGGCGTCGGCGATTTGCTGTTGTCGTCTTCTTCATCGTCGTTGTTTGGTTGTCGTCGTCGTCGGTGTCGTCGTTGTCGTCGTCGGCGGCGTCGGCGTCGGCGTTGGCGTCATCGTCGCCGTCGTCGTCGGCGTCGTCGTCGT